GAGTCAGTAGACAGGGAGAGAGTCAGTAGACAGGGAGAGAGTCAGTAGACAGGGAGAGAGTCAGTAGACAGGGAGAGGGGAGGGAGAGAGAGAGGATGGAGACAGGGAGAGAGAGAGTCAGTAGCAAGCGAGGGGGAGGGAGAGAGAAGGAGTCAGTAGACAGGAAGAGGGGAGAGGGAGAGAGAGGAAATGCAAGGAGGGAGGGAGGGGAGCAGCGCGTTGCTCGGGGTCGGAGCTGGATATCGATTAAGACCGCGGTGTCACGCAGGGTCACAACGAGAGGACGCGAGGAGGGGGGGGGAGGGCGGCGGGACGAGGTGGGAGACGGTGGAAGGACAAGTGAGGAGGTGGGGCGAGGTGGGAGGTAAAGGGGTGGGGGGAGTGGTGACGCTCCAAGCGTGAGTGGGAAAGCGGGTTGAGGTGGGAGATGGTGGGAGCAGGGCAGAGGAACGGGGTGTGAGGGAGGTGGGGAGGAGTGTGAGGAGGTTTGAGGAGGTGTGAGGAGGTGTGGGGGAGACTCCCAACCCGCTGGGCTGCCACGGGGGGACCCAGTAATGAGGACAACGTCGGCCCAACGTCCCACGTTCACTGGAGAGGCAGTAGAGCAAGTGGGTCCGCAAGCTCGTATCCAGATCGTCTCTCAGTGGTCAAATATCTTCAAGTGGCCTCCTGCTCGCGTCTTGAGACTCGGTGAGGCGGTTGCCGGCTAGCGGTGGGGGGGGGTGTTGGTGGCCACGCTGCTGCACGCGGCTGCCTGTAACCCAGCGCCGTTATGTGGAGCCAGCAGCGGGGGTTGGTGGATCACTTACGGATGCTGCGAAACTCCCTTCCCGCGGGCGTCGAGGGGGAGCCGTCTCCCGGCTCGCCAGGAGAAGGCAGTGCAAGATAATCGAGGCTCCACCTGTTCCGTGTGGACGGGATCGAGCGTCGCCTCTTCGCACGCGTGGGTTTTACTCCGAGTGGTCCGACTTCTACCCACATGTCGGCCCTCATCATGAATTGGCCGATGGCTCCTGAACAAATAGAGGACCGCAGAGCTCGGGCAGTGATTGGGAGCGCCGACTCCCAATCACTGCCGTAGCTGCTGCTGCTGCTGTTGCCTTCCGCTCCCCGTCTGTGGTTCCTCCTTCCGGCGCCTCGGAGTCGCTCGCTCTCGTGCGGCGGCGGCGCCTTACAAGGTGACAGTATTATCATTAACTTGTTAGGCCAACGTTGGGCCAACGTTGGGCCAACGTTAATGCAACGTTGGCCCAACGTGTCGTCGTCACTGGGTTCCTTCGTTAATTCAATGGCCATGTTGCAATCATTACTGCTCTTATTGCTACGAACCCGATGATCCGAGTTCGATTCCCGCTCAGGACCAGCAACGATGGCAAACATTTGAGCTGTCCCGGGGCGACTCGGAGCTGGTCCCGTGTGTACAAACCTCAGCGCCGAGGAGACAAAGGCGGCCGGGCGTGGCGCTCACCACACCCACGCCCTCGTGTGCCACAGTGCCGGCCCTTCATAGGTGCGCGCTAACAGCACTTGCCCCAACAGTCTGTCAAAGGCTATACGGGGGATCTTTGTCTTTTTTGTTATCTCTTATTGTATCCGTTGGAGTTGTCCGTCTGCTGTATGTCTCTGTCTGCATATATCCGTGTCTCTCTGCGTTTAAGTATTTTAAGAAAACATAGATTTATTTATGGAAGGATAGAAATGACACCGCATATGGAGAACGATCTTCGTCTTTGTACGGGTGAGTGATTGGGTAGGTGAGAGGCAGGTGGGTGATTGGACAGGTGGGTGAGTCAGTTTAACACGTAGGCTTTCGCGACCAATATCATCCATAAGAGAGGTTTTGTTGGGGGTTAGATCGCGTAAATGTATAATTGTGTCGTTAAAACCCGTCACCACCCGACACAACCAACTAGAAGGGTTGCCACGTAAACAGAACGTGCCAATTCGTCACTAGTACAGCACACCGGTGCGTTGAATGAAGCTAGTTATAATTACTGGCGAAACTTCGTACTCAGATTGTAAATGTTGTGGATTGGCTCTCCATCACACCGATGTAGTGCTGTACTAGTGACGGCTTGGCAAGTTCTGTTTACGTGACAAATCTTACTAGTTGGCTGTGCCGGGTGGTGGCGGGTTTAACGACACATTTATACATTTATGCGATCTAACACACACAAAAAAAACAACCTCTTAAGGCGGGTGATGGGACAGGTGGTTGAGTGCTGCTACGCGTGCGGCTGTGTGTGGGAGGAAGCCGGACCACCCGGACTAAACCCTCCACGCGTATACGCCACTGAAATGCGCTCCACAGACGAGTACCACGAACCCACACGGCAAGCCACTCGGTTGAGTTATCATGGTGTGGCCGGGTCGCTTCTGAAAATAAATAAGTTAATAGCTCAGTGGGCTTTATTTGATAAGATAAAAAATAGTTTACTTTTATCTGTTTATTTCTGAAGCGATTTATTGACCATCCCTATACTTTGCATTCGTATCGTGTTTTGGTATCGTGTATTGTTGTAACGTTCTGATCCTCTCCTACTGGACATCTGTAAAAAAGAGCTTTATAGCGCATCAGATTCCTCCGGACTAAATACCGATTCTGATTCTGACTTGCTGTACTCCCACCGCCTTGCTACGATGCCCGGGAGTTTCACACATCTCTTCGTGATCCACCAACCCTTTCTTCAAAGTGCTGGAAGACAGGCAGGTGAGCGACTATTACAGGTGAGTCCTCTCAGGAGAGTCAGCGTTGTCATGTCAAGAAGGTCCATTGCATGAAACGTCAGCCTCTATGTAATCTGTAATTTTGGTACCCAAGGTCAAACTAGACTCATCCCGGTCTCTTCTCTTGAGTTCACACCCTGGTCACAGAACATCAACTTTGAGCCATTATTCTCTGGTGAGTGATATCAGGTTAGTGAGTGAGAGCCTACAGGTGAGTGAGTGAGAATCCACAGGTGAGTGATGTCGTGTGAGTGATATTGAGTGAGTGAGAATCTACAGGTGAGTGATGTCGGGTGAGTGATATTGAGTGAGTGAGAGCCTACAGTTGAGTGAGAATCCACAGGTGAGTGATGTTGTGTGAGTGATATTGAGTGAGTGAGAATCCACAGGTGAGTGATGTCGGGTGAGTGATATTGAGTGAATGAGAATCTACAGGTGAGTGATGTTGTGTGAGTGATATTGAGTGAGTGAGAATCTACAGGTGAGTGATGTTGTGTGAGTGATATTGAGTGAGTGAGAATCCACAGGTGAGTGATGTTGTGTGAGTGATATTGAGTGAGTGAGAATCTACAGGTGAGTGATGTCGTGTGAGTGATATCGAGTGAGTGAGAATCCACAGGTGAGTGATGTCGGGTGAGTGATATTGAGTGAATGAGAATCTACAGGTGAGTGATGTTGTGTGAGTGATATTGAGTGAGTGAGAATCTACAGGTGAGTGATGTTGTGTGAGTGATATTGAGTGAGTGAGAATCCACAGGTGAGTGATGTCGTGTGAGTGATATTGAGTGAGTGAGAATCCACAGGTGAGTGATGTCGGGTGAGTGATATTGAGTGAGTGAGAATCTACAGGTGAGTGATGTTGTGTGAGTGATATTGAGTGAGTGAGAGCCTACAGTTGAGTGAGAATCCACAGGTGAGTGATGTTGTGTGAGTGATATCGAGTGAGTGAGAATCTACAGGTGAGTGATGTTGTGTGAGTGATATTGAGTGAATGAGAGCCTACAGGTGAGCGAGTGAAGGAGAATCTACAGGTGAGTGATGTTGTGTGAGTGATATTGAGTGAGTGAGAATCCACAGGTGAGTGATGTTGTGTGATTCCTGAAGAACAAGCAAGATTCCGGCCTGGACGCAGCTGCCGTGACAAGTCATGGCCCTTGCGACGCACATCGAGGCCGGATTACAGAAGAAAGCCAAGACCGGCGCAGCCTTCGTGGACCTGTCATGGCCTTACGACACAGTGTGGGTTAACAGCTTGATGGTGAAGCTCGATTAGGACCATTCCCTACATCGAAACAATACTCCTGATACGGACGATGCTTCGCAATAGGCGACTGCGTGTCCCGATGGGCGACAAAGCCAGCTCACAGCGGTTCCTCAACCATGGATTTCCACAAGGTTCAATACTCGTAGAAACGCTCTTCAATAGCTACACGGGCGACATGCCACCAACCGGGTCACACAAAATTGTACATGTGGATGACCTTCCCCTGGCAACGCAAGCAGCCACTTTCAACGACATCGAATCCACTGAACCATAACCTAAACACCATGGAGGGGAATATTGCCCGAAACGAAGGCTCAAGCCAAATCCCCACAAGACAACAAGTCACAGCATTTCACTCTGAAAGTGACCTTCTGCGGCAACGCTGTGCGACACGACCCCACTCTAAGCTCTCTCGGAGTGCAGCTGGACCGTACACGCTCAACCTTCGACGACCACCTGAATAAGGTAGCCGCCACGACCCAAACAAGGGGTCAACCTGGTCCAGAAACTGGCAATCACAGGCTGGGAAGCATCAGCACCCTCAGTGCTACGGACATCAATGATGGCCCTCGTGTACCCTGTAGCCGAGTGCTGTGTAGCAGTCTGGACCAGACGTCGTCACCACTCCACTTGTTGATGTCCAACTGAACACTGCAATGTGGTGGATCACTGGAACCCTCGAGTGGACCCAAACACCCTGGCTGCCCGTGCTGTCACCAAATCTCTGTCCCACCCATCCGCCGCAACGCTGCAACCCTCCAGGAAGGCCTGGAAATCGAGGAAAGCAGTCGCCTTCCCATTCACGAGGACCTCGATAACGTCCCTCGGCATCGCTTGAAGTCACGCCAAGCCCTTTTAGACCCATGCGCTTAACCTTCATCAATGTGAGTTCAACCCGGATGAAGCTTGGAGAGCTGAATGGAGTTAAAAAGGACTCACAAACACCACCTTGTGAAAGACACAACGCAGAAGATCCCTGGGTTCGATCTTGCACGAAGTTCACGGTCCATCATAAACCACATCCACTGCACAAACCATGGCAGTAGATGTCGGAATCTGATGCACAAATATAAAATTAAAACGCTGCAGTGTGCGACTGTGGTCATCCAGAACAGACCGTAGCACAACGTATAACAACGCAATGGCAGATCCACAAATACGAAGGAGACTTCACAGCTGCTCCTGACGCGGTTGTGTGGCTTGATAACCACCTGAACGTGAAACTGTAGTTGTTGCTCTGCGTAAGCCATTGGAAAGAAGAAGTGAGTGCCTACAAGTGAGTGAGAATTCACAGGTGAGTGATGGTGGGTGCGTAAGAGTCCACAGGTGAGTGAGAGCCCACAGGTGAGTGAGAAAGTGAGAGTCCCCAGGTGAGTGAGAGTTCCTGAGTGAGTGAGATCCCCCCAGGTGAGTGAGAAAGTGAGATCCCCCCAGGTGAGTGAGTAAGGGCCCCATGTGAGTGAGTGAGAGTCCCCAGGTGAGTGAGAGTTCCCGAGTGAGTGAGATCCCCCCAGGTGAGTGAGAGTTCCCAGGTGAGTGAGAGTTCCCAGGTGAGTGAGAGTTCCCGAGTGAGTGAGATCCCCCCAGGTGAGTGAGAGTTCCCAGGTGAGTGAGTGAGATCCCCCCAGGTGAGTGAGTGAGATCCCCCCAGGTGAGTGAGTGAGAGTCCCCAGGTGAGTGAGAGTTCCCGAGTGAGTGAGATCCCCCCAGGTGAGTGAGTGAGAGTCCCCAGGTGAGTGAGAGTTCCTGAGTGAGTGAGATCCCCCCAGGTGAGTGAGTAAGTGAGATCCCCCCAGGTGAGTGAGTGAGAGTCCCCAAGTGAGTGAGTGAGATCCCCCCAGGTGAGTGAGTAAGTGAGAGCCCCCCAGGTGAGTCTCACCTGCGCGGGCGCTGCGGGGGGCCTCCCTCCGGTCGACAGCTGCTCCGTGGAGCCGCGCTGCAGGAGGCCCAGGGCCGAGGCGGCCGTGCGCTTGTGTTTGGCCAATGCGAATCCGGCGCGCTCGGGATCAGCGTTGGCCACGAACTCATGCGCGGACCTGACCGTGGCCTGCTGCCGGTCTGCGTGCTGCTGCTGCTGCTGCTGCGCGCTGCGTCCCTGCAGCTGATGGTGCCGCTGCTGCTGCTGCTCCGTGGCTTGGAAGATGTCTCCGTCGCTGAGGTCGTGAGCGCGGGAACCACCACCACCACCACCCCCGCCGCAAGACACGTTCCCGTTCGACACGGTCCAGTCGTCCTCCCGCACCGCGCCCGCCTCGGCTACGGTAGACGACGACGACGATGATGACGAGGAGGGTGCTGCTGCTGGTGGTGGTGGTGGTGGTCCTGACGCTGCCCTGGCTGCCCCCTCGTCCGGGCCACCCCCGAGGTTCGGGGAAGGCAGGGCCCGCAGTCTGATGCCCCGGCCACGCTCCGCGTCCCCGTGGCCGCCACCGCTCTCCTCTCGGTCCAGGATCGGTTCCTTGTGTCGCGCCGAGCTGTACAGACGCTTGCGGAGCCGCTCCATGGCGACGATGCGTTGTGGGGGGGGGAGTGGGCCGAGGGGGGGGTGAGAGCAAGGGGCGGGGGGAGGGGGCAAGGGGGGACTGGGGGGGGAGGGGGGGTCACATGCAGGTAAGGGCACGAGGTCGGGTCGGTTAGGGTCAGGTAAAGGTTAGGGTCAGGGTATTGAATGCAAGGTCGGGGGAAATGCGGTTAGGGTAATGTTGAGGGTCAGGGTACAGGTGAGGGTCAGGGTAGGGAGCGAACTCGGTCCGGCACGGCTCGGGATGTGGGAGTGGGAACGCGACCCGGGACGGGACGCGCGCGGGACGGAGAGGCGAGCGGGCGGGCGGGCGGGAGGCCCGGTGGAACGCTGTCACCTCGTCTCACCTCGTCTCACATCTTCATCATCTCAACATCTCACATCTTCTCAGGTCGTAATCATCGTCTTCATCATCGCCGTTGTCTCTCGCCGTTCTTGTATCTCGCTTCTGCAGTGGTCGTCATTTGTGATTCAAAAATTAAAATGATCATCATTATCATCATCGTCTGGCCCTCTCCTTGCTGCTGCTGTTGTTGTGGCTGTTGTGGCTGTTGTTCCTCTTGTTGTTGTTGTTGTTTCTTGACGGTCGAGTCGGATGTTTTTTTTCTCTCACTTCGTTAAGAATTCCACTCCAGCTTCTCGTCGACCGATAATAAAAAAATAAAATGTAAAACAAATAACCCGAGCAATCCGTGCACGTCCGCTGTGCTCTGCTACATCGCCGTCGTTTAAGAGAGACACGGGCAGAGCACAGCAGACACCCCGAGACACGCACACAGAGACATGGGACACGCAGAGAGACACACCACACACGGAGACTCCACAAGATACACACAGGGACACGCAGAGGACGATCTCACGTCAACAGAAACGAGACGCAGACACAGAGACACACATAGACGACACACACAGAGAGCGGCAGACACAGAGACACAGACACAGAGATGACAACACAGAGAGAGGCAGACACAGAGACACAGACACAGAGACACACACAGAGAGCGGCAGACACAGAGACACAGACACAGAGACACACACAGAGAGCGGCAGACACGGAGACACAGACACAGAGATGACAAACACAGAGAGCGGCAGACACAGAGACACAGACACAGAGACACACACAGAGAGCGGCAGACACAGAGACACAGACACAGAGACACACACAGAGAGCGGCAGACACAGAGACACAGACACAGAGATGACAAACACAGAGAGCGGCAGACACAGAGACACAGACACAGAGACACACACAGAGAGCGGCAGACACAGAGACACAGACACAGAGACACACACAGAGAGCGGCAGACACAGAGACACAGACACAGAGACACACACAGAGAGCGGCAGACACAGAGACACAGACACAGAGACACACACAGAGAGCGGCAGACACAGAGACTCACAGAGGGAGAGGGGCACGCGCCGAGGGCGATACAGACAGGGACAAAGATCCCCCGTATAGCCTAAACAGACTGTTGCGGCAAGTGCTGTTAGCGAGCACCTATACGGACACGCACACAGAGGTACGCAGAGACACGCACAGAGCGACAGATAGAGAGAGACCGTGACACACAGACGAGAGACATACACACACTCAGACACACACTCAGACAGAGGTACAGACACACGCACAGACAGCAGAGAGAGACACACTCAGACAGAGGTACAGACACACGCAGAGACAGAGACACACGCAGAGACAGAGAGAAAGAGAGACACACACTCAGACAGAGAGAGACAGAGAGACACACACTCAGGCAGAGGTACAGACACACTTAGAGACAGAGAGACACACGCAGAGACAGAGAGAGACACACACACTCAGAGAGAGAGAGAGAGACACACACTCAGACAGAGAGAGACAGAGAGACACACACTCAGACAGAGAGACACACGCAGAGACAGAGAGACACACGCAGAGACAGAGAGAGAGACAGACACACACTCAGACAGAGGTACAGACACACACTCAGACAGAGAGAGAGAGACACACACTCAGACAGAGAAAGACAGAGAGACACACACTCAGACAGAGGTACAGACACACGCAGAGACAGAGAGACACACGTAGAGACAGAGAGAGACAGACACACACTCAGACAGAGGTACAGACACACGCAGAGACAGAGAGACACACGCAGAGACAGAGAGACACAGAGAGACACACACTCAGACAGAGGTACAGACACACGCAGAGACAGAGAGACACGCAGAGACAGAGAGACACACACTCAGACAGGGAGAGACAGAGAGGCACACACTCAGACAGAGGTACAGACACACGCAGAGGCAGAGAGACACACGCAGAGACAGAGAGACACACGCAGAGACAGAGAGACACACGCAGAGACAGAGAGACACACACTCAACACGCGCGCCAGGCGACACGCCTTCTGCTGCTGCTGCTGCCTCTGCTGCTGGTGATGGGGGTGATGCTGGTGATGGGATGGGTGGGGGTGACGTTGGTGATGGGGGGGGGTGACGATGGTGATGGGAGGAAACGTGATGCGTAGTCACGGACGCAGTGCGCGCATGCGTGGGGCTAGTCGTCCCTGCCTCCGACCCCGCAGCGGCAGTCGGGGTTTCGATTTCGCGTCTTTAGCCCGGGGGGGAATCGGCACCGAGACTCAAGACCCTGGTTGAGGAGGGTCCTGCCAGTAGGGGCTGGGGGGAGGTGGTTGCCGTGTGTGATCCCAGTGGAGGGATTTTACGGTGTCATTTCTCGGCATTGGCGATGTCGCTTCGGCCGATGCCAGCAACGTTGTGTAGTGTGGGAGATTTTGTTTTGTTTTAGCGCTTGGAGGAAACCGGAGAAGCCGAAGATGACCCAAGCAGAGCAGGGGGAGAACTCACCGCCTCCTAGCTGTCAGCCCGTACGGTTTACCCGTATTATTGTCCGGGGAAATTGAGTAAAAATGTTTTTGTCTATTTGTTTGTGTTTCTCCCTTGTGATGGGACTTTGTGGGATGAACGTTGAGGTTTATAAGGGGCACGGTCTGAATTGGTCTGTAATAAGGTAGGGAACTGACGAGGGGTTGACAGCTAATCAACCTCCGCACAGAAACGGTGCCCGAGTTGAGAGTCGAACCCAAGCGATTCTTGCTGTGAGGCACAAGTCCCACCCACGAGTCCCACCACGAGTCCCACCACGAGTCCCACCACGAGTCCCACCACGAGTCCCACCAAGAGTCCCACCACGAGTCCCACCAAGAGTCTCACCACGAGTCTCACCACGAGTCCCACCACGAGTCCCACCACGAGACCTACCACGAGTCCCACCATGAGTCCCACCACGAGTCCCACCACGAGTCCCACCACGAGTCTCACCCACGAGGCTCACCCACGAGTCCCACCACGAGTCACACCCACGAGTCCCACCCACGAGTCTCACCACAAGTCCCACCACGAGGCCCACCACGAGTCCCACCACGAGTCACACCACGAGTCCCACCCACGAGTCTCACCACGAGTCCCACCACTGCCCCCCCACCCCCCCGCCCTGTAATACCAGCAGCAGAAGCAACAGGGGTAGCAGCTACACCCCCCCCCCGCCCCCTGCAGGACGGGTGCGCTGTCCTTAGGGTTCCTCTTCTCACGCCACGCACGTGGCTCTCGCTTGTACGTCTCCGAGGGTGGGAGGGAGGGGGTTAAATGAGCCCTAAATAAATAATTAAACGCCGTCCAATAAATAACGCCGCGAGACACGACGGGAGGTCGGGCGGAGCGACCGAGAGGCGGAGGTGGTCAAGGCACGCGAGGCCACGCGACGGACCGCAGGAAAAACCCGACGGACGTTTGCCACGGGGGGTGGGGGCAACGGCTGCGGTGAATGCCCCGAGGGCAAGGATGAGAGGAATGCCCCGCGGGCACGGCTGAAGAGGAGTGGCACGAGTGCATGGCACGGGGGGCCGGGGGGGGGGGGGGTAAGGGCGCGTTTGCATGCCCACGAGGGACCGCTGAGAGGAACGCTCCCTGGGGGCACGGCTGAGAATAATGCTTCGAGGACCCCGCTGTGTGGAATGTCCTCGGGGGCAAGGTTCAGGGGGAATGCCCTGGCACGGGGATTGGTGGCGCTGGGGCGCAGTGGCGCGCGTGCCCGGGACGCGGTCACGTGACGCGGTGGCTGGGGCCACGGTGGATGTCCGGGGTGGGGTGCTGAATACAAACACACTCACACACTTATCATCATATTCATCATCATCATACACACACAGAGACAAAGGTCCCCCGTGTAGCCTCGAGCAGGCTGTTGGGGAAAGTGCTGCTAGCGAGTAGCATTGAACGGCACAAGAGGGGGTGGGTGGCCAGCACCACGCCCGGTCACCTCTGTCTGCCCGCTGGTGATGTTTAGACACGGCAACTAGGTACTCATTTAAGGCCGAGCCGATCTAGGGAAAGCACGGGACCGGCTCAAATATTCGCCTTCACCGTTCTTGGTCATGAGCGGGAATCGAACTCGGGTCGCAGTGCAGCACGGTAACCAACACGCCACTGCTGTTCCACACACACATATACAATATAAACATTATATATACACTATAAACATTATATATACATTATATATACAATATAAACATTATATACATTACACAATACATATACATTACACAATACACACACATATACAATATATACATTACACAATATAAACATATACATTAGACAATACATACAGTATATACATTATACAATATATACAATATAAACATTATATACATTACACAATACATACATTATATACATTATAAACATTACACAATACAGGCAATATATACATTATAAACATTACACAATACATACAATATATACATTACACAATACAGACAATATATACATTATAAACAGTACATAATACATACAATATAAACATTACACAATACAGACAATATATACATTATAAACATTACACAATACATACAATATATACATTACACAATACAGACAATATATACATAATAAACATTACACAATACATACAATATATACATTATATACATTAAACAATACATACAAAATATACATTAAACACCAACCATCATACACTCACACACTCTCGCAGTCACTTTAAATGCAGCCACTACACACAGCAACTGTAATGCTCGTGCCAGGCTAGGTGCACTCTGAGGCCATCACGTGAAGGAGTTGACGGCTCGCTGCTGGCAGGAGAGGGTCACGGGGACAGCCCCAGGTGCTTTGGGGTTGACCATCAGAATTGCCGATGACGCGGTCGTTATTGTTGCGTATTACTTGTGTAGTGAGTCCAACTGAGTCGCAGACGTTATTCTTCAGAGGCAACACTTTTATTGTAACATCAACAGGTTAACACAAAGGGGTAACTGTCCCTTTACCAGATACAGCCTAGGTAGTGGCCACCCAGCTAACTACATTATACGTAGGAGCTACAGCTACGAAGGGTCGGTCCCTCACTCGGGTCCCCCACCACGTGTTGATGCCTCGTAGGATGTAGAGCTTCCAGCTTGTAGACGTAGAGCTTCCAGCTTGTAGACGTAGAGCTTCCAGATTGTCGAATGCAGCGACCCCGGTCCCTCTCAGGGACCCACCTTATATCCTCCCGGGTCGGGGCCACTCCGCCCTTGGCCCCGCCCGCCTTTTCGAGCATTCTAGCTCCCTCTTGATCCCCCCCTCGAGAGCTCTCCCTGGACATGTGATCACCACCTAGTCTCCCCACCTGGGGCCTTCTCTGTGGACACTCCAAATCACGTGTCTACGGGGTCAACCAGAGTGCCATGGCCCGGGGCAACCCTGTCCTTGGGCTGCACTACACGCTATACGTGGTGCCCGCCAAGTCTCGACCCAGGATGGCGACCGCGCCGCAGCAGCTGGCTGCAGTCCCGTGTCGGTCCCACTGTTTATCTACTGTTACCACACCTCGTACCTTACCCACGTACTTCTTCACTATCGTCTGCTCCTCTTGCCTCCAACCCTGCCTGCCTCCGCGCGTACTGCACACCCCCCGCGGTGCTG